TGTGTCCAATCAGGAAAAACAAGTCTACTGGAAATGAGTCCATATGCCTCCAGTCCTCTGCGCAATTTCCTCCTTTCTAACAGAAAAGTCCACAATGCTTAAAGAAATCATGCTTTAGTGGCAGGCAGATAGTGCAATTCATTTGCTTCTTTATTGTTACTGAAAACTTGAGACACGTTCTCCTTTAGTGTAAATCATAAAGAAGCAAGACCTGTTTGTATATTGAATAAAATGTAATAGGAAAAAAAATAGACCTAATAAGTTCCTCAGATATCTGTGGCTTCTCATACACATCCAGGGCCTTCTTTGCTGGTTTAATACCAAGCTCTGCTTTTACAGTGGATGCTACAGCAAACTCTTGTCTCGCCTTAACTTCTAAATTTCGGAGTGTATCCAACAAGAAAGAAGACTTAAATGGAACAGACTATTAAAAGTTCCTTCTGTGCTTTTGTTGTGAAGTCAACATCAAATTGATATGTCACAAGTGATGCAGGTACTGCAGTTGAATGGCCTTGAAAATACAGCACTGGCAATGCCACTACCAATGTCATCTTAAGTGAATAAAGGAAGTTAGATTTTTTTCAAACACATTTTTTTCTGAGACACGTAACCTGAGGAACCTTGGTTATGAACTTCAGACTTACTCTAGAAGCATAACCCAGAAAACATATCAGAAAGATCAGTAGCTGTTAGGTATCTCTGTGGCCAATTACTACTCTTCCATTTTTAACTACAGCATCTTTTCAGAATAAATTTATGCTGCCTGAAGTCAGAATTACAAAATCATTTTAAATCAATTGTCTTCTTTTGCAATAATCACTGAAATTTGTGTTTTTCCAACATTATACTTTTTAGTAGATAAAACTCTAATTTGAATTTTGGCAGAGGTATTCATGATAGTTCAAAGAACCTTACATTATTTTGTTTTCTAAGTTTACTTACAGAATAGGTAGGTCTTCTATCTGGAAAACCAGAAAGCTAACCTTGTATCTGTGCAATTTAATAGTACATTTTAAACACATTTGAAGCAGAAAAAAAATATGGAAAACCTATGAGAGAGTTCTTTGTGACAGACATCAGATGCACTTGTTAAATAATGGGAATTTTGTTAGGGAGGAAAACTGAAGCAGAAATTATTGGAATACACAGCTGCAATAATGAATTTTTAATGATAGTAAAGGATACCTTTTACTATGGTGCTCCCACTCAACCATACTTGGAGTACCACAACTCTCCTCTTGAGATGGAGAAATGGAGTTTCTTCCTCATACATCATGGCTGACATTGCAAAAGTAAAGTCCATACTATAACAAAAGATCAGGATTTTTCCATGAGGTAACTAAGATGTGGTGACAAATACTGTTTAAACTTCTAATACATCAAGGCAGCTTATAACCTTTTCGTAAACTCTGATAGCTAGTTCAGCAAACCATTGTGGGGCAGCTGGTAGTTCTGTGTAAGTGTAGGTTTTGCATATGAAATACAAAGCTGATGAGACAGGAAATAATAAAAATGGGATTTCAAGACACTGTCTTTTGCATAGAAACCTACCTTTGATATTCTATTATTGCAGCTGGTTATCATCATGTATTGAATTGCAGCACCTCAGAACTATACAAAATTATGTCTTCTGTTTTGTCTCCTTTCCCTTGCCCATGATCATCTCTACAGTCATGTAAAGTCCTTCCCTGTTGCTAAGTAGGAGAAAATGTACTTTTTTATTCTTGGTGGATCTTCTGCCAGAACTGTTTTATTTAATAACATTGGCAATGTTTGGACTGACGTTAACCATAGGGTTTAACATTGACTTCACTGTTTAGTGTGAAATAGATAGAACTGTCATAGATGTTCCTCTGAAGATTCTTCTGTTCTTCTTCCACATTAGTAACGTTTGTGTCTTATCACAGAGATCAGTGAATTGCAGGGATTTTTTCATCCCTTTCCTCCTTACAACATTTTTTTATATACTGACTTTTCTATTGTCTTTCTCTGCTTTAAATTGTTCTTACCTTGTAGTGTCCCGTGTTGCATTTGAAACTTTACTAATGCAGTGAGTGGAATAATTATTTCAGGTGTTTTGTAAACTATACTTCGTTCTGTTGTCTGTTGTTTCATACAGGCATGATATTGCTTAATCATGTTTGTTTCAGTCTACAGTGGTCTGACACTTTCTTCTGATAAATTTCTACCCAACCTACTGATTTACTATGCTATATTATTGCAGCGGATTATTCCTGCCTATGTGTAGAACCATGTACTCGATCTTACAAAATTGCATCCTACTGTTTTAAGACAAATTCTTCAGCTAAAGCAGGATTATTTTTAATTTTCTCCAATGTACATGCTGTCCAGATTATCTGCAATACACCCTGTAATCCAAAAATCAGAGCCCTTTGAGAGAAACAAAGCCAGGACTTCAGTGTTTCCTTGTACATCTTTGGGAGGATGTTGTCCTTTGAGTGGGAAATCTCTGTTTTGTATGGCAGGAAGCAGTACATTTTCCTGTCCTTCCTGCAGGCTGGACAGGAGCTCGGTTTTCCACAGTGGATCAGCAAGTGGAGGTGAACGTCAGCATAGATGAACAATACCAGCAGTAATTATTCCTTGCTTTTCTTATTTTCACTGTGTACTTGAGGGAAAAAGAGGCTGAGATTTTTGAGATAGGGCCAGGATTATCAGGAAAGGTGGGAAATTAAATAAGTCTCAGAATTCTTTGGTACTAAGGTACCAAAGTGGTTCAAAAAGAGATTTAGAAACTACTAATCTCAATTGTTTATCAGTCTTTGAATGAGCCTTCATTCTCACCTGGAAAGACTGATCAGAATAATCAGCACCTTTACCTGTTTATCAGAAAGCCCTTTATGATTACTTTTGGCGTGATGATGGCTATTCATAACAATATCACCATTTCCCACATAAATAAAGAGCATGAGTTAATGGTCAGTGAGGCAGATTAATCCAGAAAGTTCAGATCCAATCATTAGGTGGGTTCCTTCAGCACCCTGAGGAGAGTATCTCCAAAAAAAGCATAATTTATTTTGTGCCTGTGAGTGATGGCTGCAAGCCTCACAGCTTTAGAGTCGTGGCTCTTCCTTTTCCACTTCTGGAGTTTGATTACTCCCAGCTGTTAGAGCAGTGTTCCTGTTCTTGCCTGCACAGAGGCTGAGGCAGGAACTCATCTCAGGCTGGTGTTCAGACTGGCGTTACTGCAGTGTAGACCTGTTTAGCAGGTAAAACTGAAAAGCACCAAGGGATGGCTGCATGTATAGCTATAGACATACACAATTAGCATTTTGTATTACATAGGTCAGCATGCTTAGGAACCTTTACATAAATTGTTTCTAGTTTTGTTACATTTTTCTTTCTTGAGCAGCTCTTCAACTGACACAAAACGGATGCAATTGTGCAGAGAGAAAAGTGTTTGTCTCATCACTCCTTGACTTCATCCTGTCAGAAATGTAAAAATTGTAATGAATCCATGAAATATTAGATTTCCACTTTCTGTTGCAGGTGAAGGACTTTCAGGAAGATCTGTAGAAGTTATCCTTGCTGTTACTTTGTGTATACTTTCAGTTGTTCTTTTGGTGGCTGCAGTATACGCTTTTGCAAGGTGAGATTTATGTATCCTTGCCATACCATGTTTGCAAGCACTCAAAAATAGTTTAAAGAAGAGTTGGAAGAGTCCTATGAATGAAACCAATCTGTCATTTCAAAATTTATTGCATTTTCTTTTTTTTCTTCTGTTTTCTTTTATGTAGAAACTTAGGGAGGGACTCGCAAAGGCTTTAGTCTAGTGAGGGTAACCTCCATAGATGAAGGAGAAAAACCATCTTCTCAAGAGGGTAAATCAGAGCAGTGGCCTATCTTACCCTTTCAGAGACACTTCTCTGTTGACTTCAGGATACAGCTCAGAGTGTCAGCTGGCTGAAGTTAGTGTGATGGCTAACCCTATTCACAATTTGATATGAAGTAAACGTTCTAAATTGTTTTCTTACTAAAGAATTTATTAGTTAAATACATTCAAGTCTCACATATGAAAGAGAAACTGACTTCTAATCCAAATTTTGAATAAAATGTCCATGTAAAGAGGCAAACTGGGTACTGCATACATTATGTTAGTTTGCTCATTCATCAGAAGTTCTGTTCTACCTCAGCTGCATCACTCAGGCATTGCCAAAAAACTTATGTAGGAAAACTAAAATAATATGTAGGCTAAATTCTTTCTGTATAAATTTTAGACAACCTAACTGCCAGATTTGACTAAATTACACTATTGGAAGGGAAAGCAGAATAAAGGCCAAGGAAGGATTTCTAGCAACCATGTTTCAGTTTCAGCCTGTTTAATCAAAGTATTGACATATGTGTCCTTAAATCTTTTGCATGTTTATTTTTCAATATTATTTTCTGTTTAGAATTCGACAAAAGCAAAAAGAGGGAGGCACATACTCCCCACGAGATGCTGAAATTATTGACACTAAATTTAAGCTGGATCAGTTGATCACAGTGGCAGACCTGGAGCTGAAGGATGAGAGATTTACACGGTAAGCATACTGCTTAGGCAAAACAGTAGTCCAAAGGGTCTGTAGCCATGACCCCTTTTGACCTCTGCTTGTTTGGAAGTGTTTGTGGTGTTCTTATTTACACAGGTCACTGAGATCCTCTTTCAAAGAATGACCTCCATCCTCAAGACACTTCTCACTAGCTTTTAGAAAATCACTTAATCTTCAGCTCTTTTTACAACAAGATAAAGATCTAAGTGCAAATCACTGTTTAATTGTGTTAGCAAAAAAGGGCTACATATTCTTAAACATGCAGAATTTCTGAGGTTTTTTTGATGGCTCAGTGTTTTGTGTAAACTGCAAACCTACATAAGCATTTTGAAAGAGTCAAACTCCCAGAAGTCCCCATCAGCTATTTCAAGAACAAATCTGTCATTGTTTAATTGACATTTAGAAAGCATTTTTTTCACAAAGGGATTTGCATAATATCTGGGTTTTCATGGAACTCAACACACTGGCAATCCTAACATCTAATCCTCTAAGGTGTATGCAGCAATTCCAGGTTATTCATATTTTCTGTCCAACAAAGAATCTTGTCACAGATATTTATCGGAAGGAAAACTGCTCTTTCTGACTGCCAGAAATATGGATATTATTCACCAAATAAATATAACCATGATTCTCAATAATATACAACATTCAACTGAGTTAGAAGTGTTTGGTAAACATTCTTTACCTACCTGTATTTTCCCTGCTGTGTTAGATAAAACACTGTGGTGGGCGGTCTCCTTAAAGATGAGAAGCCTAAAATAGTCTTGCCCTAGCAGTCAGGCATCCTACTGTTGCAGACTAGGAATAGCTGGAAGATGAAAGGTTGTAGCTGTTGACCTGTTTTGTTTGAGTGTGTATATGTCTATGTGTGTGGCACAGAGTAAGTTAATTGCATGTGCAAACCTGTTCAAAATAGTGCGTAGGGGTGGCTGCTTCTAACAGTTGAGAAAACATACTATGAATCATCTGGAAATCATGTGGTATGTTCTGTGTGAGGCACATGTCATTCAGATAGCATTGTTTAGTACCTGCTAATAACAGTGGAAAATTGAAGACAGAACCATTAGCCATGCACTGTGATAACTGTGACTCATATAAATGGTCTTGATGGATCTTCAAAATAGCCTTGTTTCCAAACTGCTAGCTGAATAAGGATAGTACTAATTTTATTCATATACTAAAGTATTAATGGATTTTACTTCCAGATACTCTTCATTTTTCTTTAGACGCAAGGAGATATTTGTCATCCAGTAAGTTTTTGTATTATTGAAGCAACACTGTGTGTTTTCCATTCTGTTCTCTTAACCTGTGTGCTACCATACTATACTGAATTATATAGTTAATCAAAATGAAAAGTTAATCTTTGCAGCTATACTAATGACAAAGAGTGGTATTTTCTACCATGAAATCATGTTTATTTTTAGTCCCTAATGTTAAAGTACACAGTTCCACAACCTTTTTGAAACAAATTAGGGTAATTTTTACATAGAAATTATAACACTTCATTAGAATGCAGCACTAATATATACAACCTATCCTTGAAGTAAATGTAGTGCAAATTTGACACAAGAAACACGCTGTTTCTTTTTCCTTTGGCTGTTAGAATGTATGTACTTAAGTGAAGCTCTCTTTTTTTTCTCAACTGCCTTTTGTACTCACTTAAACTGCAGCTGTTTAGTACTATGCCACTACAATCTCAGTAACATACCTATGCAAACAAATCCTTTACCAGTTTACAGAGTATTATTCTACCACTTTTCTGTCTAAATTACTTCAGTTTGGATTTGTACACTCTTAAACTCCATAGGGTAATTGCAAACTATAATATTTCATACTGAAGTGCACTTCATTATATGATATATGCACAGCAAGGCCTTTACTGAACAGTCCTTCAGCAGTTTCAGTGACATCAACCTTATTTTAATGAGTCAGTCTCACATCTCAGTTTGCAGTTTGTCATGTCCTTCTATCTGTATTTTTCTCTTTCCTCCTTCCCCACTCCTTTAATGGCCAAAAGCAAAGACTCTCTTCTGCCATTCCTGTAAAGTACGTGAGGCAGCTGTTAAATTTTGGATTACTATTTCTCAAACAGCTGCACTGAAGCTACAGCAGGCTCCTTGACTAGGTTGTTCGTTGGGCATTCCAACAAATTGTCAAAGTTCGAAGTGCAGACACTAACTGAGAGTTACTCAGGACAGGATTCATGCCATCTTTTCAACTGGACATCAGTAAATACACTGTGGGACCCTACTAGATAACAAACATATAGTAATGAGGGGCAGGATATCCTTTATCTGTTCAATATTTTTTAGTTTATTATGGCTTTTTTTTAAGTTTTATAGAATGTTTAAATTTCTGTAAGATTCTGTTCTGGTAATGTCAGTCACCAAAAGAGACATTTTAGGTGTCTCTAATGCTGTCTTTCACATACGTACATTATTCCTGGTAATGATAAGCTATATCAAGAAGCTGACAAGAAGCATGGCAACATGCAGCAAAGCAGCTTACTGCAAAACCTAGTATCTAAAATATTTTTGTTGCCTGTTTCCAGACTTCCACAGCTACACCACAGAAGAACTTCTGTATCTGTTGCCTTTGGGGAATAGTTATGTAGAAGTCAATCACAGTCCCAGTTCTTGTGTTGTCCTTATCATTCTTATGATTGGTGGTTAAAGCAGTGGCATGTTAGCATTTTAAATTATTGTATTACATGTTGATGACTACAGTGTAACCTTTGCAAATTTACTGTGCATTTGGAATGGGACTGTGCATCACTGCATCTGCATAACCTACCACCCATATGTTGGTTGCATTTAGTCAGGTCTCTCAGCTGTGTTTGCAAAGCTTGCTGTGTTGCAGAATACTGATTTCAGGTCATGGCATCTTGTAACTGTATGACAAAAACATAGATGGGCAAACTCCTTTTCCAGGCTGGCTTGTTTGTATTTCTTGGATAGCAGTAAATCAGCTGAAATCTGGTCTAAGTAAGTATGCTTTCTACCCTGAAAGAGTGGTGGGGGCTTTGTGAAAATCTCAGGTGATAAAAGAGCAGTATAGATTTTTTTCTGTACCTACTAATCATCCCAAACAGTGCTCATTTGAAGGGCATACTTTGGAAACCAGGTGTTTTGTCATTTGTCAGCCAGTGTATTATTTATCATGTTACCTGCTATAAATCAGTAAATCATGGACTTGCAGCTGACACAGTTCATCCACAGAATCAAGATACTCTAGCCTGTTCCATGAGATCCTTCTTGACTGTTTCTCATACATCGTCTCTTCAGACATTCTCTCATACTTAGTGGATTGTGGCCTATGATCTTGGCTCATATTCTCAGAAGATTTGTGCAGTTGATATCACATGAGAAATAAAAAGAAGTAGAAAAAGGTTTTTCTGTTTTGTAAGAATATGACTGGAAATGGTTTTTTTAATCATTCTCAGCAGGTTAAAAATTCAAAAGCTTGAAAAGTTTAACGAACCAAAACTCAGCAAATGTTCACTATAGGTTAATCAAAACATTTTATTTCACAATTTTTTGTAACTTTTTTAGTATTAATTACTTTGCATTATAAAAGTCAGTTTAAGTACAAAAAAACATCAAATTTAAATGTGCCAAGTATCCATTTTGCCAATTTTGAAACTCTTTGGGGAGTCATCATGTCTTTCAAACTGGGAAATTCATGGTAAATCCCAGTTCCAAATGTTAAATTTTTAACATAATGGTCATATGAAAAAAAATTATTTGAAAAACTCCAGCGTCTGAAAATTAGTAATACTACCTAATACAGTATTGGATTCTCAGCAAGTCTTTGTTAGACAATTGATCAATGGGATGTGGTTTCAGAGGGCACACATGGAAAATGAGAAGTGCTTTATGAAGCCAAAATGCTAACTTAGAGTGTTTGGGACATACAGTGATCTCCATTATGGTGAAGGAGGTATGAGACAGGCAATAACAGAAAAAAACTACCCTTGTTTAAAACATATATAGAGCATCAGTCTAAACTGGATTAAGCATTTGTTCATTAAGGACACTGAATACACATATACTGGAATCTCTCATCATTTACTTTTTGTAACATGTCCACAGCGTTTGGCAAGTCACTTTTCAAAGCAGACAATCATCTGCTTTTAATAGATTCTGTCACAAAATTTTCGTGGCACACCAGGTTTGTCAAGAGACAAGTAACTCTTACATGTTCCAGGTGGTCACCTAGGAGACAACTTCTCTGGCACCCTATTTTGCAGTGTTTTCTACAGCAAGGATAAAGGCATGTAGGTCCCCATTTCTTAAAATCTTTCCTTGAGAAGTGTCACCTTGTGGTAGATGCTTTGAGGCTTTTGTTTCATTCTATGTGAGACAAGCATTCTTCTGTCTCACAAAGAGAATAGGGCACAGATTCAAAAGAAATATTTCTGAATTACAGACACTGGAACCCTTGCAAATACCAGGTAATTAGAACTCATTATGGAAAAGTATTGTATATAGAATTGTTTTCTGATCTCACGTTTCTTCTATATTGTGTATTCTATAGGTGTCTATATTCAAGGTAACACTTCTGCCCACACATTACTTTCTCTAGACCAGCTTGTTTTTTCTTTATTTGAGTGGGAATAGGCATGGCTCCTGCCTTGCTGCCTTCTTCAACAAACTTCCCTTTAGTATGCAACTCTCAAATATAGGCTTCCTGAGCTTTGTATCCCAGGAGTGCAAGGTTTATGAATGTACATGTCCTGGTACAATGGAAGAAATGACCATGTGTTCTCTTTCCTTAGGCCTTTAATATTTAGGAAGGGTTAAGCTCCATACTGCTTTCAATTAACTTAGTTCCTCTGTTGTTCCTAGGAAGTGTCAATGGTGCTTATGAGTTAAGCCTTTTGCCTACATACTCATTTCTGTTGTTTTCTACTTGGACGAAGTTTTAATTCTCTGTGGATTTCAGATGATTGACTCAGAGAGAAAGCAGAGTCTGTGTGACAATATGGTCTTCAGTTACCACTGCCAACACAAATAAATGGCTTCTTTCTAACTCTATCATAAGTAATCTGAGTGGGATTCAGATTTTTGATAGACTTCAAAAAAATCCCACACATGAAACAATACACTGTTTTAAAAGAAAATCAGATTTCAGGCAATAAAGCATTGTTTATCTTGGAGAGTGTTTTTCTTTCCTAGTTTCAAAGTCAGAGAAGTGGGAATCTGGAATTGTCCAGGTTGAAATAGGCAAATTTGCAACTTCACGGTTTGATTTTAAATTTTGTTCTTGATGATCTAGTCATATCTGTATTTTTATGTTTCATATGGAAGACTGGGAGATGTGGAGAACAAGATTATAGGTAGATGAGTATTTGTTCATTGATTAAATACTGTAAGATTATAATTACATATTCCAAGTCAAGAGACTTGGAAAAAATACTAATTTTTGAAGCCTGAGGATACTGAAACTGAGTACATTTGTAAGTCTTTAGTGAGCATACAAATTCATCCTTTCTGAAGATTCTTACACAACAAAGTTGACATCTTTGCCACAGTCTTCGAGTTAGACATTAATTCTCATATAAGCATTTAAATTAAATCATCTTATTTTCTGAGCTGCCAAGCCACTGCAATGTGCACTTGCTACCAACAGAAACATGAGAGTTCAGTATTTCTAAAAGTCAAGTTCTTAAATGCCCAAATGTCAATCTGTAGGTGCCTGACTTTAAAAATGTTTACTGCTTGTTAAAAACAATGCATGATTATGCCTTAAAAAAATCACCTGTTATTAATATTAAAAATTAACTATAAAGCAACATATGCAACACTGTTTAGTTAATTTCCTGAGCTATTTCAGTGCTTTACTTCCCTGCTTTGAGTGAAAGTAAAAAAATAAAATATTGTTGAGTGAGGTGGTATTAATGGTGCTGCCTGTCTCCTATGTTCTTTGCTGGTGGATCCATGGACCTTCAGCACTGAAGCACTAAATTACATACTCAGGTAGCTTATGTACAGAATAGGTGTAATTTTTATTCCCTAATGGCCAAACAGCATTTGCTTACTGCAAATTAGGTGCAGTAAGCTCCTAATTGCTATCAATTCAAGAGGAGGAAAGTCAACAGTATTAAAAAAATTATTGGTATGTCAACTGGGAGCTGATTTTTTTCTGTTGTTCTATGGTGAAGATAGGTGAATTCAAAGGAAAAACAAGTGTAATTTCTTTGCAGAGACTGCTTATAATTTCATCCTGAAAAAGGCCTAAAAAAAGTTTACTTTCTGCTCAAAGACAAATATATTTGCGTGCAGTACATTGGCACAGCTATTAAGAATACTTTTTCTTCAGAAAACTTTAGTTCTATAATGTTGCCAATACTAGAAGGTAGTTTCATCTGCCACATAATGCAAACATAAGTGATACAATAAGCACTAGCTAGATGTCTTAAACATTCTGACAAAATAGAGTTGCATGCTTTGTCATCTTATTGCCTTCTTTTCTTTCTAAATCTCTGCTTCTGTTGTCCTAGTAAGCACTTTGAGTTTGAGACTTTTTCTGTGAACTCTTATACTTCTTTTTACTCCAGTGAGACTGACCCAAGGCTGTCATAGCCAGTTTGCTTTATTTGAAGAGAACTGTCATAACAAAATATGTACCACAAAGGCATCTTTAGTAGCTTTAAAATTAACTTCTCTGATGTTTGTATTAATCTCATTTTGTTATCTAATTTAAAATTTAAATATTTAAGAACAATTTCATAAACCAAAGTATTTTTAAAGCAAATTCTTGTCTTTTCTACTAAATTTGTGGCAGAAGTAGACATTTGTATTTGTATTATAGAATAGTTTTTGTAATATTTGCATGTAAGAATGTATGGTTTTTGGAGAGGCAGACTTTTAAAAGGTATATTTAAAGCTTTTTTGAAGGGGCAAGTTATCTTTTAAACTGTATTACTTCAAAATTTTTGGCTTGATCTTTTAAACAAGCTTTGTGAGTCTGAGTGCCCAAAGTTTGGCTTCTAAATCTATAATCCACAATGCTGAGACATTCTGAGGTGATCATGATGACCAAGTTTCAAGGCCATCTAAAAGTCCCCTGAGTATAGATGCTCATGTAACTTCTTCATGAAACCTGCTGTGGGATCAAGTTAAAGATTTAATATGTAGCACAGTTTCTGAAATTGCCATGCACCAGAAAGAGCAATGAATGTGTAAAAATGAGCATGAAAATAGGCACTCATTTTTAAAATCTTTAGAAAAACAACCATAGCTGTTTGTTTTCAGTAGAGGCACGCCAATAGCATGATTCGTCCATGAATTATTTTAGATATCTGCTTAAAAAGATATTAAATCACATCTATTTCTCTTCATTGATTATAAAAGGAGTCTAGAGTCACTAGAATCCTATCCTTATGCTCTGAAATGGCCCTAAGAAGAATAATATTGAGAACATAGTGTAAAATGAAGCCTGTCAATGTATATGAAGTGGTATGCTGGAAGTATGGATTTTCCAGGGCCATACAAGCCCAGAGCACTGTAAAATGATCTGAAGAGAATTATAGATATCCATATTTGCCAATAACTGAGATAAAAAAACTAAGCAAGACAATCACCCAAGATATCTGACATATAACAGTATTTGAATCCATGAGAGAAATACATCTGGTTCTTTAGTTATTTGAGTATTTAATCTAAAACCTATTAATATGCACAATATTGGTTAACTCTCAGATTGCTACATTTAACAAAAATCTCTGTTTCAGGTTACTTAGTTATAGAAAATCCATCAAGTAAGTTGATTAAAGATTTTTATATTGTGGTCATCGGTGAGTCTCAATGTGTGGTTCCCTCCTCTATGTTTACTAGAAAAAAACTCCAAGCTGCGTATAAATCATAAAAGCATGACTAATTGCATGGTAACTGGAGAAATGCTTTCTCTCTCTCTGGGGTGAAGCCTGCATGTCTGTGTTTTAGCTTGGGAAGTAATACAGGGATATTTAAACTCCTCAGGGTTTAAAAACCATGTCATTATGAGAATGAGGTCACTGCAATATTTTATATGTCTAAAACCTTACAATGTATAAAACGTTTTCTGTGCAACAAAGAAGTATTATGTACTTTAGGATGCAATGATAACTTTACAAATTTCCATTAATATCAAAACCTTGCCTTGGAATGCTGTTAGCTATAAAAACAATCCTACACTGCAGTACCATTAACATTAGCAACATTAAAAATTTTGTGACTGGGAACAACAAGGGGAGAAAATGCTTCTATTTTAAGTGACTGAAAACAAACTCAAAATCAAATCAAAAAATCAAAATCAAATAAGCATGCTAGAAGCAATTTATAATTTTCTGCCCGTAAGTATCAGTTTCTGTTGAATTAAAATTGTTTATTAAAAAAGTGCAGTTAAATAAGAATAAAAAGAATGACAAAATTCACTGTAGGTTTCTAATTCTTCTGTCATTACTTTCAGGCCAATAAGCAAGAAATCTTTCCTACAACATGTTGAAGAGCTTTGCACAAACAACAACCTAAAGTTTCAGGAAGAATTTTCGGTATGTTGCTAGCAGTTGTCACAACATCGCAAGACCTTCAGTCGTTTCATGTGTCACATTTCATGTCCATTTCAAGCAAGCAGGGCCATGAAGGACTCTGGCCTTGATAATCAATACCCAATTACCAGGTTGATTGTTTAGAAAGTAATGTTACACTGATTTGGATTCTGCAGTCTACACTGCAACCTGATCAGAATTATTCATCTAGGTGTCAGCAAAAGATGATCTTCTTTAGACTCTGATCTTTGCAAGAACACCATAATATTTATGCTTTTACATATGTAGCAATGCATATGTAGTTTACCTGAGAACAGTTTATTTAGAAATAGTTTTCTAACATATTTACATGTATATTTAACTGCTTTAAGTAAGTTCATTTTCCTGAGTGATAATGACCCCAAAAACACAGCTGTCATTTATTCTGTGAAATATTTAGGCCCCAGTCCACTGGGAGCCTACTATCATACTACTACAAACTCAGAAATGTTTTTATTTCATAGGTTTCAGTGCAGAAAGTTAAAATTTTGTGCATGGTACTTTGCTTTTAGTTCCTCTGCAAATAATAGGTCATACTTGTCATGCTCTTGAGAATAGCCTTCATGTGAACAGCCTCCATCTCCTTATGTGAGTAGATGAACACAGCAAGCACATCATTCTTTCTGAAAAGAGACTAGGTTTCAAAATATACATTACATATAATATAATGCATATATAGTTTCAAATTTGAATCTCAGAGTTTTCACTATTTTCATTAAGTAACATTTTTACGGCTATCATATTTTTTTTTTCTCAACAATATCTTCTCTTCTTGTTATTTCAGAATCTTTATCCTCATCATTTTTAACACATACAGTCATTTGCCCTCATAAAAATAATTTGTCAGTCTCCAGTGACTTTATTATTTTGGATTTATAGATTTACCATGAATTGCTTACCAGTTGGATTAACAAAAATGAAGACTCAACAACTGACTTTTCTTCTGCTAGATTATAATATTTCAGTCTCTAAGGGAAAACCTACAAAGGTGTGAAAAGATTAATGGTATTTCCTACTGCCTTTTTTGTTATGGTCCTTAAGTAAAATTGGTCTGGATTTAATAATAAAAAGCACCATAAAATTCTCTGAGCAATAAAGTAAGGAGAACATTTTTTGCAAGACCAGAAGTGTTATTTCACTTGAACAAGAGTGATTATAGTTATATTATGCATGACTGAACAGATGAAAAGTTTTACTAGCAATAACATTTTCACATATTAACATTCATCACTGGAACGTTTCTAGTATTACTTTCTTTAGGTGTGACCCGCATTGCATAGGCCTTGTAATGCCTTAAAACTTAAACAACAGTATTTTATCAAATCAAAATCTTGTCAATCCATTTAAAATTTAGAGAAATACAAGTCGCTGAGGCCTCATTCAACTATATTATATAGTCAACTTATAATCAACAGCTTTATATGACATTTGGGCTTCCATTTTTTTTCTCTCTGAGCTTCAGCTTCCATGTTTCAGAGTGTAGATATCTTCCCAGACAACTTGTCCAAGAACAGTTAGAATTGCAGGGTGGGTTCAATCCCTGATTGAGAAAGTATCTGCAATATCTGTAGCACCTGTCTTATCAGATGAATAATAGGATTGACAATGTGCTTGAAATGACATCAGAAATGATAATGCACAGAAACGGGCAATGCACACAACAAACAAGCAGACCTTGTGACCTGCATTGTTTCCATCCACATTCATCATTTTAGTTTCACTCAAATGACTCAAGGCTTCTACAATGTGTGTAGGAGAGACAAGCTCAAGATATAAACCCATGGACCATTATATCTGAAGCACATAACTAAAAGCATTGTGCTGAGCTTGCTTGGGTTCTCTGACTGTCTGTGAACTAGTAAATTCAAGTATACCAGGAGCTAAACATGAGAATATGATAATTTACACTAATAAACTGTTAGTATATTCCCTGCCTTGAATTTGGACTTTTTCAACTAGCAGTCTTCCTGGACAATTCCAAGATATCTTTTGGCAGGTAAAGTAGTCTAGGGATCATTTACAATGGGCAGTTTGTAGACAACAAACCTGTTTTGGAGTTTTCTAGCATAAATGTGGCTCTTTCCATTTCACTTAGTCCTGGAATCCAGAGACATTCCTGGTCTGATCTGATTTGCTGGACTGACCAAGCTGCTGTGCCTAGAGATCTCCGGAGTTCAATCTTGGTCCACATGTGAACATGACCTTTGTGTAAACATGATGAGAAGAGAATGTGGACCTTAGAATGGATCTGGATTCATGTCTTGTTGGAAAAGACAAGTTTAAAGAAACCATAGGAAGACACAGTAACTGATGGTGGGCACCAACTGATGTTCAAACTTCCAGCTTTCCAGATGATGCACATTATCTTTCAATACCTTTCGGAAATCAAGTTTTCCTAGTAACTGGCAAATTACTGAAACAGAAATGCTTCTATAAGTGCTTTATGATAAGTTCTGTTCATGAATAAAAAGGTGAAATACCTCTGAATGTTACCACAGAACCATAAAAGTACTATAGTAAGCAAAGTGCTAATTAATTATTTCAAAGTTTTATGAATCTGCAAAGAAATATGGTTTCTGTGGCAAATTGTTATTGAATCTGGGAATCCAAATAGTCTTTCCCCAATTCTGAAAATAATATTTAGACTGAAATCCATACTGGATTTGGTATTTGGCAGAGAATTGGTATGAGGCTTTTGAGCACTTGTTCAGATATGGAAGCATAATTACAAAAATAACATGATCTGCTTTATTTCCTCTCTACTACAAAGTACTGTACAACAGTGCTACTTCTATCCTCGTTAACTGTCAAACTAAGACAATTAAGAGAAGTGAGGCAAATGAGGCAAGTTAAAGTTCACATGACATGCACATGATATGGGATCCCACAGCCCATAACATCTGCAAAATGCCATAGGCATTTAATCGATGATGTTCTTCCTTCATGCAAAATTCAGTGATAGAAATTCTGTGGGAGAGTTTAAGCATTCTGAATTAGAGGAATTTTAACATCTCCACCCTTATCTGTGTTTTACTGTTCTTACCAAATCCTGACAGGAATGCACAGAACTCACTTTACTGTGTCTGAGAATAGGGATCTTTCTCTAGGTTCAGTTATAGGATTGGAGCCATACTTCTCTGAGGGATTATTGAGACAAAAGGCAGAGGCAACTGAATAGGTAAAAGGAATGTGCCTTTAGTATGGCAGAGGTGGATTGAAAGACAAGATTTAAAAATATTGAGTGCCTTTAAAGATATTTTTCTACAGTATGTTAGTCTTTCATATAGTTATGTATTTACTTTATGCATGTTAGCCATGTTTTTTAATTTTTTAACATATGAACATAAATGTACAGTCAGCCATTCTTTATAAGGTTACTTTAAGTCAGAAACTTTCTTTTTAGAAGGGGCATAGTCATAGACTTTTCAGGCCTAGGAAACACAGATATTTAGAGAGATTTTGAAGGGTGTGGATGGGATCTAGGCCCTTATTAATTTTCAAAGGGAGTTGAGCATCTAGTTGTTCTCTGCAGTTCTTCCCCTAATTCTTTCCCCAAGAAAATATGTGTCAGAGCTAGGAAGAACTGTCAGGTCACTCGTCTGAAAGTCCTTTGCTTTCACTGTGAAACCATCTTTCCCCTCCTGTTCAAAAGGACCTGCAGTTATGTTATCAAGGATATAATTATAGAAGTGAAGTAGTCCTCATGCTTCAGGCCATAGGATTTTTGTCAGATGGTGAAAGAAACAAATTGCTCATGGGATAAAATAACACATAATACAGTTCAGGGGTTCTGAGCTCTCTTTAATATGTCAGACATTATCTGTTGTACAAAATAGGATATCAGATTAGTTGAAATATTGACTTGGTTTATTACATCAGTTTTTAAATTATCTCATTTTTCTAATGCTCATATTAAATTATTCTTAATATCTGAACCCATCAAATAAGAATCAAGGATATAATTATAGAAGTGAAGTAGTCAAATAAGGCTGACAAAATATTTGAATTAGCAATGAAAGAAAAACACTAGTATAAAAAGCACTTCTGCTTTTTCCATTTTTCATTACCTCATTTATTAATTTATTTATTTATTTATTTATTTATTTATTTGCTAATAGTTTCCCATTAAATTTTATTTATAGAAGACAAACAGTCTCAAATACCTAGGCAAAAGAGAAAATAATTAACATTGAACCTCATAGTAGGGCTATCTGCCCCACTTTCGAAAGTAGTTCATTTGGAGAGTAACTGTTAATATTAAAAGAGAAAATTGAGGTGATTACTCAACACAAGTGGCAAAATTTCGTGTTGTACTCATTCAAAGCAATAGACAGATCTCTTAATTTGTATCTTAGGTAAATGTTGAAATAGACTTGTATATAACATTTGTCAAACAAAGGAAAAATCTATTATGCTTAACGTAGTTATTAACTTAGAAATTCTGGAAAAATTCTGGATTTTTTAAATTGTCTATTCTCTTATCACCACTCTGAGATCGTTATATTATACATTTTGTTCATTAACAAGTTATGCAATTTTCTCCATTCTTTTACTCAGCTTTGGAAATTATACCTATTTATGTCCACAAACACCTTCATCAAATAAGTTCCTCAATATGAATGATTTATCCATCTCTGCCCTTCAGTAATAGAACTAATGACCAGTTATGAAACTGCAGTACAACCCAAAATAGCTCTTCCCACCCCTTTCACAAACAGTCCTGTGAACAAGAGCTAATTGCCAGTTGTCTCAACTTAATTAAATTCTCATCAGTTCTCATGCTGTGGTAAGAATTCTCCCAAGCTACAGGAGTCAGGAAAGGCATTATTCAAGAGTCAGTGAGTCAGTAGGGCATGGTAACCAAGCATGTGACTTCATGAAAAGACAGAAAAGACTGCAAAAGGTGACAGGTTGACTTTATACAGACTTGTAAAGGTGAAAGTTCATGTAAGCTTTAATTGTTCAACTTGACAGCATTGTCTGCAGTGCTGCATCTAATGCTGCTGTAACTGGGGTTGACAGTGAGGTGGAATGCTCTGTAACACTTCCAACTGTTCTTAGAAATGCACTCTGTTGCAGAACTAAAGAATTCTCCCACTTACTGGATGACTGTGTCATTTTTTATATTCACTGAAGGTGAAATGCAAGGGTTTGCCAATAAACATTTATTCCTCTACAGGAACTTCCCAAGTTTCTTGAAGATCTTGCTTCAACTGATGCTGATCTGCCTTGGAACAGGTCTAAGAACCGTTTCCCAAACATAAAGCCATGTATGTGTGTTTACCGATCAACTCCTTCATTTTGCTCTCTGCCCTCAATGGTGTAGCATATATTTGGAATGCAACTGTATTTTTGTTTGATCTGCCTTTGAAATGGCAGTACAATCATGACCACATTATGAAATAATTTCTATCAAGTAATCTGTCTTTTCATTGTGTTTTTTTAAAGACAGTTTTATTTGCAAGTAGCTTTCAACTTACTCTCACAAGCTTTAATATGCAGGTGCAAGAAACTGTAGCCTCAGTAGTTTCTTAGCTTTGTAATTCAAGACATGCAGCAAACTCTTTAACATTCTTCCTCTTTTTTTTTTTTCCTTTTAGTGAGAAGTAATTTTTTTAAACATATAAAATCCACATGTTTGTGCATTCAGATACCTCAGGAGCCTGGATATGCTTTCTTGTGGATATGTGTATGTGTGCTGCAAAGGTTCCACAGAAGATCACAGTGACTGTATGATAACTTATAAGCCAAGGCTAGATTTTATCACTGGAGACAGGAGTCTGTCTCTCTGTACTCAACACTGCTTCATTTTTCAGTTAATAAGACAAGAAATGTCATTATTATTTTAGGCATTAGCTGTGATGTGAGAGGGGGAGCATGGCATTCCTTGGTTAATAATACTACATTCTGTGCTATTAACTTTTCAAAACAGCTGTTCCTGCTATCCACTGCCTTGTTCAAGACATACACTAAGTTACAGTCACTAAAAATTTATATTCATGGCACACAATTAAATATAAACAGACAAATTTCAAAAATCTTTAACTTTGTATTCTACATTTTTTTTTACTAAATTGAGGACCAAACATAAAAATTTGGAATGCTTGATTTCAGCATTTAGTTATTCACATATGGCATCTTTCCTGTTTTTTGTCATTTCTGCATACATACCATGGTCCCAAATCGGGAGCTCTCCATCATTTTTTTCCCCTGTAATAATGAGCTTACCTTATGTAAAATAAGCAAATGTATGTAAAAGTGCCAGCATCTGGCTCAAATCTGTGACCTGGACAGCAAGTATATAGGAAAGACGGTCAGACCCCTGACCCTGCTGTCTGATTCACATGGAGGTTGTCTGTGCTAGAACAGCATGGCTTAAAGTACATGGGCTACCTTTAGGCAGAGGAACATCCCATATGTACATCAAGTTGAAGATTATGGCACATTCACCATTTTAATTAAAAAGTATTATATTAAAATATTTCTGGAACATTAAAGGATGACCGTACAGTAATGGAAATTAGTTAAATTCCCTTTGTAATTAGTGTTCTACTGTGTCGAGTATTGTTAGATTAACAACAATAACAGTATTTTTTATTTCTTAGCTCTCCAGGAACACTTGTTACATGTGTCTATGGTCTTTGAACAAATCCTTTAGTTAACTAGACTTTATTTCCACAATAGATAATAACAATAGAGTAAAGCTGATGCCTGATGCTGGTATTCCTGGATCTGACTACATTAATGCCAGCTACGTGTCTGTAAGTAGAAAGTCTCTCACATTTTTACTGCATTTGTTTTCTGATAGAAGAGATAGTCAAAAAACAACTTTCAAGATGAACAAGATTTTAATTATTCTTTCATTCACTATAGCTATTGTTGTCATGGCATTGTTCAAGTGACTCCTGTGGCACTAAACATGAATAGTTAAAAATATAAATTATCCCATTTTCATT